TATAAAGCAATCGAAATTGACTCATGTAAATAAAATATGTCATTATTTACTTAATAAGAAATTTATTCGTCAGATATGTAAACAATGTCATAAGTACAATGGTGTTTCCAAATTTTCTAATTATGAAACAGAATTTCATTTTCAATATAAAAATAATTTTTATAGTTTCATGAATTTCAAAAACGACAAAGTAACAGATACTCATGCCCAACAAGGGCGGTTGGGGAGGAGGAGGAGACGAAGGATGAAGAGGAATGGAAGAGAAGGAAGATGAAATCTGATTATTATATATCACCTATCACTTTAAGCATATTTCAATAATATTTGTCTTGTTGACTTTCCAAAAATGCAACAGTGATACCCACGGAGGGCGAGGAGGAGGAGGATTAAGAGGAGCAAGTGGGAGGCTAAGAGGGGAAACAATAGGATACAGCCACGGAGCATGACCCGCGTAACTCAGTTGTTCGTTAGAGCAAAGGACTGAAAACCCTCGAATCCGGGCAAACGAGTCTCGAGAAGGAGAAAGCGAGAGGTTGCAGCAGAATTGGGGTACTAAGCCACCTAAGGAATATAGAGAGAGGAAGAACGGGAGGGAAAGGCGAAGAGCGACAAACAACACAAGGATAGAGAGGAAGAACGACAATCCCGTGGAAGAGGTCCTGTCATAGCCACTGAGCATGACGCTGGCAAGGATGTCCACGTAGGAGAGGGGGGGGGGGGGGGGGGGGGGGGGGGGGGGGGGGGGGGGGGGGGGGGGGGGGGGGGGGGGGGGAGGAGGGGAACTCCGAAAGAGAACGAACGCCAAGGCGGGGAACTGGAGGAGGTCTAGGAGGTAAAAAGGGGGGAGTAGACGGAGGAGAAGAAGGAGATAGCGAGGCCAACGCCATGCGCTCATGCACAGAGAAAAGTCATTTCCCTGCCATGACGAGAAGGAGAAGCCGAGGTAGGAGGAATCAGAACAGATCATGCAAGTCCATTCGTGCTCGCGACAAAATCGATTGACGGTTGCAACACATTGCCGACCCCCCCCCGCCCCCCCTCGCCCCAGCAACTCCGCCGCGCCCCCCCTCCCCCGCTCCCCCCTGAAGCGCCCCCCCCCCGCCCCCGGTCTCCAAGCCAGGTCTCGAAAGCTCGCGAGCTCGTCGACCGCACAGCGCGGGCAATGTAAGAAAAGGGGGGCGAGAGAAAGGCGGCAAATGCCTAGTAAGCGTGAGTCATCGGCTCGCGGTGATTACGTCCCTGCCCTTCGTACACACCGCACGTCGGTCCTACCGATTGAATGGTCCGGTGAAGTGCCCTGGATTGCGGTGATCTTGGCGGTTTGCCGCTGGGGGTGCTGTGAGAAGTTCATTGAACCTGGTCATCATTTAGAAGTCGTAACAAGGTTTCCGGAGGTGAACCTACGGAAGGATCATTGTTTATTTATGGAAAAAACAAGGAAAGAAAGAAAGAAAGAGGGCGGCATGGAGTTTTGCGTGACGCACTGAGGCTGCGGCATCATCTCCCCCGTCCCTTTCGCATCGCGCTCATCACAGCCGTCGATCGACTTCGCCGCGTGTGCGGATCTAAAGTACCGGGACAACGCGGCCATGACACGAGCACGAAGAGCGGCTAATTGCGGCGCGAGATGAGGCGGAGGAGCGGCGGAGAGGAGCGCCAAGTAGATGATAGATACCAACATTGTGCAGAGCAAGGGTGACAGCGCGGCGAGGCGGAAGTGAGGTCGAAGAAAGAAGCCTAGCACACGACAAGCACGCAGATGAAAATGAGAAGTAAGGCAAGACATCGAGGGGGGAACACGAAGGGAGATGGAAAAAACGGAGGGAGAGAAGAGAGAGTGTGTGAGAGAGAGAGGAGAACATGACGAGCAAGAGCATGAGGAAAAAACGAGACGGCAACAGAACACACAAGAAGATGAAAATGAGATGCGGGGCCACAAATCGAAGGGTGAAAACGAAGGGAGATGGAAAAAACGGAGGGAGAGAAGAGAGAGAGTGAAAAAGAAGAACAGACGAGCAAGAGCATGAGGGAAAAACGAGAAGGCAACACAACAACCAAGAAGATGAAAATCAGATGCGGGCCAAGAAATCGAGGGGGAAAGGCGAAGAGAGATGGAATAAACGGAGTGAGAGGAGAGAGACCGTGAGAGAGAGAGAGGGAGAGAGGGAGAGACGGGAGAGAGGGAGAGAGGGAGAGAGGGAGAGAGGGAGAGAGGGAGAGAGGGAGAGAGGGAGAGGGAGAGAGGGAGAGAGAGAACATGACGAGCAAGAGCATGAGCGGAAAACGAGAAGGCAACACAACAACCAAGAGAAGATTAAAATGAGATGCTGGCCAAGAAATCGAGGGGGAAAGGCGAAGGGAGATGGAAAAACGGAGGGAGAGAAGAGAGAGAGGGGAGAAAATGGCGAGTAAGAGCATGAGGGAAAAACGAGAAGGCAGCTGCTCTGCATTCATAACCAAGAGTAACGGCGAGCAATACGACGGTTGAAGAACCGAACTGTGCACCTCTGCCGTGACGATGGACTGGAAGCAGTGGAGGGGGGGAAGGCGGAAACAAAAGAACGAGGAGGATTGGCACAAGGACTAGACGAGGAGGAAGAGCAGAGACGACAATAACCAGGATGACAACCAAAAAGAAGAAGAGGAGACAGAGGACGAAGAGAGAGACGCGAAGAGAGCGAGGAGGAAGAGGAGGAAGAGGAGGAAGGAGAGCGAGGAGGAGGAAGAAGCAGAAGTGGAGAAAGAGATGGAAGAAGGACGAGACAGGAGGACGAGGACGAAGACAGAGAAGAAACGAATGAAATGAAAGAGGGGGAGGCAGGAGGAGCAAGAAATGAAAGAGATGGAAGAAAGGGGAGGCGGGAGGAGGAGGAATAACGAAAACAGTGGCCATAGACTGCTTCTCGCACATGCATGCACCTATAGATCAACTTTACAATTCCGCATGCACAGTTGTCAGTAGAAACGCGCATACTCCTCAACGCGTTTCGGCCAGACTGCGCTGCTCGCACTCCTCAAGGGACTTCTCCCAAGATCGCCACTGATCATAACAGTGACGATGGCGATCCGAGAGAGAGAGAGAGAGAGAGAGAGATTGAGGAAAATAAAAGGACAAGAGAGCAGGACGAGGAGGAAGAAAAAAGCGATTCCCTGAGTAGCGGCGAGCGAAATGGGAGAAGCCTAAATCGTTTATTCAATAAGTAAGCGAGGTTATGGGAGAGTGTTTGTAAGTCGAAGTTTGCTAGATGAAGCAGTTGAATTCTGCACCCTAGTATGCTGGCCCCGCACATATTGGAACTCTACGTGTAGCTAGTTCTTTTCAAAATGTTCATGCTATAATGCACGCTCCTTTAGGACATGATTATTTTCATGTTATGCGTTCAATGCTAGAACGAGAAAGAGATTTTACTCCTGTAACAGCTAGTATTGTAGACCGACATGTTTTAGCAAGAGGATCTCAAGAAAAAGTAGTAGAAAATATAACTAGGAAAGATAAAGAGGAAAAACCTGATTTAATTCTATTAACTCCTACATGTACGAGGAAATGGAAGAAGTCGAAAAATGGGAAGGCAAAAAAAAAAAAAAGGAAAATGCGAAGGCAGGAGGGGGAAACGCAAGAAACGGAAGCAGCGGACAGGAGGAAGCGGAAAAGCACCAAGCCACTCATCATAACAGTAACGATGACGATCGGGGAGAGAGAGAGAGAGAGAGAGAGAGAGAGGAAAACAAAACGAGTAGGGGGAAGAGAGAGAGAAAGAGGGGGCGGAGGAGATGGAGCACGAGGGTAACGAAAAGAAGTGGACGGCAGCCGCTGCTATCATGAAGAGCAGCAAGCCACTGATCCTAACAGTGATGATGACGATCGGGGGGAAAGAGATTGAGGAAAACAGAACGAGTAAGGTGAGAGGGGAGAGAGAGAGAGAGAGAGAGAGAGAGGCGGAGGAGGAGATGGGAGGACAGGATAGCGAAAAGAAGTGAACATCCGCTGCTATCATGCGGCGAAAAAGGAAAAGAAAGGCGATGGTGAAACGAGCACAGACGAAAATATTGAGTACGACAACGACAATAGCATGATGGCAACCAGAGTCCTCCGACGAAAACGCACCCTGATTCTGAATATATACAAGCTATCTTTCTGGTTTGGTGCGGCCAAAATGAGGGTGCGTTGTGTTCGGGGAAAGACGGTAGAGCAGACGAGAGAGGAGGACGGACACAAGAACGACGATGACCAAGGCCAAGACGATCGAGGAGGAGAAAAGCAGTTGGGAAGAGATCCCCCCCTCCCCCCACTGATCATGATGCTCCAACTAATACCAATATACAAATAACATACAATCAGAAAATATGGCATAGTCTCGATCAATTTAAGAACATAAATAAAAATAATATATAAAATGAGAAAAATCTACGACACATGAAATGGTCTGCGCAAAACACACAATGCAATCTACAAATAATTTAACCATAAACAACAAATAAGGTCACCGATAGTTCAAAAAAAAAAAAAAAAAAAAAAAAGAGGTACCATAGCTTGCCCCTAAGGCGTAACTGTTCCACATTACAATCGAGAACATAAAAGCAAATTTAAGGCAACCATTTCTCATGTCCGTCTTCCACCTCTTCACCGCTTCCATTTTTTTTCTTTTTTTTTTTCTTTTTGGTGAGCTGGTCTGGTTTGTTGTCATCCTTGCATCATCGCTTCTACCCTCTTCTTTCGCTCAACCTCCTCCCAAATTGTGCCTTGTCATGACCGCAAATCTTTTTCCAACCCCCCCTCAAAAAAGGAACTGGAATAAACCATTAACCAATTACAGTAATCAATAAAACATCACATTTTACGTACGATAATAATCAAAGACTTACTTGTATCAAACAGAACGTAACTTACTAGTACTACTTGACTTCAAAAAATTTCAGTCACTTAGAATTTTTTTCACGAGTTCGAATTATCAATTTCGCATACTATCAATTTCGCGTACTATCAATTTCGCGTACATTACCTTGTAATAGTCTTTTCCAGCAGCACTCACAGCTACCATAGCCAGCAACAGGAGAGCTTGAAGCCGGATTGATGACGACAAACTTCTCGACAAAGATCGGCAGCTGCAAAATCGAACGGTCGCCACCCATCTCCAACTACCTGAGCCGCCTTCCCTTTCTCCCTCTCCCCCTCTTCCTCTCCTTACTGAGCGCCCCATAGCCATAGCCGTATGCTTCGAACTCAGTCACGAAATGACGGCCCTGAAAGCCTGAAACAACAGCCCCTGCGAGCTGATTACACCAATAACTATGTCCCTTGGCTGTATCGCAATCTGATCTGACACAATCCCGATGCAATCCCGACACAATCCGGATGCAATGGGACGGACAGTACGACGTGCAAACAGATTGATCATCCCGAGAGAGAGAGAGAGGGAGAGAGAGAGAGAGAGAGAGAGAGAGAGAGAGAGAGAGAGAGAGAGAGAGNGAGAGAGAGAGAGAGAGAGAGAGAGAGAGAGAGAGAGAGAGAGAGAGAGAGAGAGAGAGAAGTCTCCAGAATGACGCGCGCTATCTTTCGCAACAGGCAATTGCCTTTTCCCCCGATGCGTCGACTAGGTCTTGTTCCCACCACACAGAATCAACGGATACGAGGACGTAAGTCGAGATTGCTGTGGTCGTTTGCGTACGCTGATTGGTACACGCTTACGTGGCACGCACTCGTGAGCGCACCCACCTTCCCGCCAAACCTTGACCAGGGGCGATCGTTGAATCGCCGCCGAACAAACGACTAAGGACAGGACCAGTTTCCTACACCTACACCCTGGCCATGTGCTCCTGCTGCAATTTGTCTGCCCTCTTTCCTCTACATCGCAATAGCAATTAAGAGATCAAGGCAGCTTCACACATACTCGTTAAAGAAAGACATCCGCTGATGAATCGGACCGCAAATACAGCCACGTGGCTGCGCTAAGACGAGAAGGTCGTCCGGTGACCTGTGGAGCTTATTAATGACCCCAATCATCATTGATTGATTACGAACTAAGCGCCTACTTCGATGAGAACAGCACTTTCTACTTTTGAAACACTCTCTACAATCTCCGACCAGCTTCGGCTTTGGTTTCGCACTCTGCTGATGTCATCAAGATTTTGCACGTGTGTTGAAAGAGGGAGGTTCAAGCCCATGACAGCCCTCAGTCATGACAGCAGGACCGGTTATTCGAATGTACGTTCGTGGTTGTAATCTCAATCACCAACCTAAACAAACGACTGACAGGAGTCGTGCGTATCTCGTCTACAGACTCTTTTTTTTGTTTTTTTTTTGGTCTACTAATCTACAGAATGAGAGCATGCATAGCTAGTCAGCCTTTAGCAGAAGAAAAAGACTCCAGACTCCAGAGTCATTCTCTGTATGACCCTGACGACCAGATTGATATACTCGTTAGAGATGGATGGTGAGAAGACAATGCAGCTACCGCAAAAAACAGACAAAAAAAAAGAATGCAGCTCTTGGAACAGAGTTGAGCTCAGTGCTTTATTACGTACTAGCCCTGGCACTTCACCGATTTTGGACCATTTCTTGATTCATGCGTGTCATCCCTGCACAGGGATCATCCTCTGCATCGTTCCAACCCTTTTAACGGATATCCCGTAGGACCTTATAGCCGAGTTTGCGTCTACAGAGAGCTGCTGGAAATCCACCGATCACAAGGAGTAATACGGAGCCAGCATTCCGACCTGTGGGTACAGGGGTTGGCGTTGCAAGACGAGCATGCGGCAGCTGAGGTGGCAGTCGTTGGCTTGGTATTTTCACCGCGACCTTTCCAATCGGCACCCACGTGTCGACCAGCTTCTCACCGCGACCCTTCAAATCGGTACCCACGTGTCGACCGGGATCTAACCGCGACCCTTCAAATCGGTACCCACGTGTCGACCAGGTTCTCAGCAAAAAACCAACTGCCGTGAGAGACAGGGCTATGAACTGCGGGGGCGACGGAGCTGTGGAGTCTCTAGAGGTGTAACAAGACTGTCGAACAGACACGTCGGACGGCTTTGAGAGAACGCACATGCGCGGGGTTGAAAGACGTAAAACCTGAGCACCACGTTCAACCTGTGGCGGGAAAATTCGCGAAGTTCATTGACTGCCGCCATTTCAACCAAAATCGGGGCGCCACGTTCAACCGATGGCGGGAAAATTCTCGAAGTTCATGACTGCCCCGCCATGGCGCTTCAGCGTTTTTGAAGTGCACGCGGTAGTCCCCCGCCATTCGCTCGGCGTTCCTAGGAAACGGAAAAACAAAACCAAAAAAGAAAAAAAGAACAGAGTGCTCGTTTTTTTTCCTTCTTTTTTTTTCGGACTTTCCTGGATGCATATGACCGGTTTTCCAACCCCGTCTGGATGCACCTGAGGGCAACTAACGTCCACAGACAACTGGAGAAAATCCTAGTGTGAGGGCATCGCCACACCAGTCTCGAAATGTGCAAAATGAGAATGAACTTCCCGTTAGAACATGGCCAGATGCACCCGCCACATTTTCGTCTTTCTCACATTTTGCCCTCAGTCTTCCGGAATCGTGCCCGTGCGCAAGGTCCCACTTGCACGGATTAAGAGATTCTGGCCGTTGATCTTTGGTATCTACGGTCAATATCGCTTAGTTCATGTAATTGGGACCTAGCCCCGTGGTTCGACCGTGAGGGCGGGAGGCCTCGACCACATGTACTCCGCAAGGGGCCATCCTACGGCGGAGTGGGCTCCTTACACGCAATCGTACGGTTGTCGGTGAGGGAACTACGCGTTCGTTTCCGAACTCTGAAGGCTTGGGGCCTCGCTCCACTACTCCCCGCCGGATGCACAAAAGGCAAAAAATATGGAGGTGAATACTTCCATGTTCTCGCGGAAGATTCGTTCTCGTGTTGCACATTTGGAGAGTAATGGAGCCCGGCCCTTGCAAGCGGCAGCTGGCAGCAGTGAGCCTCCCGCAATGCCACCGCGCGCCCCTAATGCGTGGCGAAGCTCCAGAGCGTTCCAGAAAAAGGGAGGGCCGCCAAAGAAAAGGGAGCGAATCTTGCCGAGACAAGCCGAAATGTCTGAAGAACTTTTGGATATTCGGCACGTATGCCGTCCAACGTAATTCACAGAACTGCCTTCTGCTTCGTCGAATGGCGCCAGCTCCGCCAATGACCTTCGAAGTGACAACCCGCCCTCCTACTTGTTTGTTCGACCAGCAAAGAACCGGCCACCATGTACCCTGCCTGGTAGATCAGGTGTTCAAGTCCGAAGTCTACCACAACGCTGGGGATTCATTCACTTGCTGTCGGAAAAAGAAGCGCCATTTGTGTTGTTGCATTCAGAAAACGGGTCTCGCCACCCCACTCGCGAATCGGAAAAAGGGGCTTGCTTTCCCGAAAACAAACCCAAAAAAAAAGGGCTTGCCCCACCACTGTCGATACAAAACAATGGGCCTAGCTCCACTACTGTAGACTCCCGAAGTTTCGAGAGTAACACCCCGCTCCACTGAGGGCCTCGCTGCACTACTCTAGACTCTCGAAATATTTTGAGAGTTCAGCTAGCGTTGTCAGAGAGGCGAGACTCTCGAAATACCCGCCTTCGCTGCACTTACTCTATAACCTATTACACTAGGTGAACTCTCGAGAGTCGAAACCCTGGGCGTCGTCCTACTCTACAAAAGAGCTTCACCACTGCGCTACGGGACAAAGTCTGGCCGCCGGGACAGGAGATCCACTCTCGAAAAACGAGCCTGTCGGCAGGCAACTCACGAGGACACTTGCAAATTCAGTTGTTGCAGGCGGGGGACTCTCGACGTTTCGAGAGTTGCGTGATAGTGTGGCTTCTGACAACTCTCGATCGGGTTTCGAGAGTTTCCCGATCGAGAGTAAGTGCAGCGAGTAAGGGCCTCTCTGCACTTACTCTCGATCAACAAAAGCTCAGCAACGCACAACCAGTAGTGTCGTGCAACAAGCGTCAACAGTAACAGTGTATGATAGTATCGATGGCCTTGCCACCAAATTGTACTCCTTTTGTAGCTGCACCAACCAAAGTAGATGCAACTCGACGAAAGATGTGCACTTCAATATCACTGCATGTCTCCACCAGCGTTCCATCTGATCTCGCTCTGCTCAGATGTAGTTCACCATTCTCGAATCCCTATTAGTTGTATTATATACAACTAGCTAAGCACCCACGGTGCGGGCGGCGCGGGCAATGCCCGCAAAAAACAAAAGAAAAAAAGAAAAAAGTTACGCCCAGACAAACCTGTAAATTTCATTTCATTTCACCACTATTAACAAATTCAAGAAATGAGAAAGGGATAGAGAAAGAGAGAGAGAGAGGGAGGGAAAGAGGAGAGAGAGAGACACACAGAGAGAGAGAGGGAGATATGGAGACATACAAAGACAGAGAGAGAGAAATCAACAAAACAGCAAAGAAAAAAAAAAGATCAACATCAGTATAAAAACCTACGTCGCAAAGAGTACACGTACGGAGGTTTCCCGTACGAAACGTACAGGTTATTTTTGGACGGGATCTGTACGGGAGCCTGTACGGGAACCTATACGTCTTGTACGCCCCCGTACGAAAAAGCAAA